GTATGTCTTTGTGTGTTTGACCAGGCGCACCTCTGACTGCACTTAGTGCTGGGCTGCAAAGATGTGATAGATGTCATTTTGGACCTTTGCCCTGGGAAAAAAGGGATTGTCGTGGAAAATGTTCCTTTATGAAGCAGTGTCAGGGAGGAACAAAAGCATTGCCTCATTTGTCAGGCAGAAACAATAGAGCTGCTTTACTGTGTCAGACTTTTTCTTTTAAAAGTATAAATAAAATCAGTGGCTACATGCATCTTGCACATTCTAAGTGAAAACATTTCTTCTTAGTTATTTTTTCTTGTAGTGTCTTACTGAAATGTGAGCAGTTTGCATGTTCAATGAGTAAAGGTGAAGTATTTACGGTGAAATGTGGTGTTGTTTGAATTAAGGCTTTTCCGATTTTATTTCAATCTGAATCATTCCATGTGGATTACAGTAAAATGTAGCAAGATGTTGATTTACAGAAGATCCTGCCTTCATCTCAGGAGTGAATTGTGGAGCTTCATCTAGTCATGAAGCTTCATCCTTAAAATCTGATTGGTCTTGGGTTTCTCTCTAAATTATTTTTAAGAAACACAGATTATGAAGATCTTGGAATACTAAAATTCTTGCTTATATTTTTGTCTTCATTATGACATGCAGCAGTATAGAAAGCCTGGTTATTTTTGTGTAACTTGAATTTAATGTTGAAACTGCCTCTGTAAAATAGATTTTGTGCCTTAAAAAGGTGGTAATATCTTGACAAAAAGTATTTCCCTTTAGAAAATAGGAGGTGGGGCTATTTGAATCAAATACCACATTTAAAATGTGAAAATATGCTATCTAATTTTAATACCTAAGTCTCTGTGAGCCTTGGCCCAGGCTGCTAATATGAATCTTTAAGATATACAGCTATAGGCTTGACTCTTAAGCCCAACATCCAGGAAACTCTAATGGGTGGGTTGTTCGAGTTATATGTAGATGGATGGATCTTCCCTGGAGGAAATATATACAAGCTCTGATTTGTTAACTGAATTTGGACTAGACTATTACTGCAAACCCGAAATGCTGTTTACATATTATATATAGTGGAAAAATTGCATTTTGTTTTAAATGAGGTCAAAGCCATAGCCGTGATGCCAGGTGGATACATAATACTTGATCAAACAGGAGTAAAAATTAACCGTGCTGGATCTTCAGGATGGTTCAGCATGCTCAGCAGATGTCCAATATGTATGTATTCCCTTCAATAATTCTATTTTCATGAATTATAAAGTTATATTTCTCTATTAAGACTTGAGTTTCATGCTGCTGCTGGGATTTTCTACCATCACATCAAACATGTAGGCAGAATTGTTCTAACAGCCTTGCTCTCTATGCGACTTTTTCCTGTAGTGGTCTGGCCGTGTTACAGCCATAGCTTTTCCACTGTATTGGGCCTTTAGTCTCCGACCATCCCAGTTATTTGGACCAATGAGCAATAAAACCATGGCCACTTCTGAAACTGGGCAGGATAGGCTGGGTCCTCACCATGTGCACACCTCTTCCAGGGGAAAGAGCAATTGATTTCTGTTCATTTCAAAGACTGGGAAGGGCAAAGGCTGTGCTTCTACTCTGAGACTTTTGTGTTTTCTTAAAGAAAGAATAGGGTAGGTTCTCTGGATTTCATCTCTGGGACCCTGGAGCATCTGTCAGAGTGCATGGACTGCCAGGTGCTGTGGCAAGATCGTCTGCTAAATCTTTCTGCAAAGCTTCATTGAAGTGTGAGAAGGGATCAGTGGTGGTTACACACTTGCATCTCAGAGTCTGCTGCAGATGTCTTTAAAGGCAGCAAGTGCGAGGGCCTGATGGAATTGCTACGGAAACCAAGCTTATTATTTATTTATTCATTCATTCATCCATCTATTTGTTTATTTCTTTATTAAAAACCTGATGTCCCTGAATGGCAAATCTTGGGACTCACCCAGTCTCAGGAGAGTTCTTCCATTGCAAATCAGGCAATGTGAAATATTGGCTGCTAATCAGCAGCTCCAAGGTCCACTAGTCTTGTAGAAAATATTAACAAAGTACACAGTCTTGAACTAGAGTGCTCTGCTGTTCTAGTAGAAGAATATATAGGCTAAATTGGATCCTCTTTTTATTTGGACTTGCATAATGATTATTTAAGCATCAGAAAAAGGACAGAACTGCAGCTTTTCACTGATCCTGGCACTGAGTAACTGTTAAAATAGACAGGGTTGGTGGTAGTGAGATTGCTTTTAAGGCCTTTTTTACACTGTGGAGGATTCAAGAGAGTGGTGTGTCTGCCTCGTGGGAGTAAAGCATTCTAGTCCAAGTCCAGTAATCTGGAGGGGGCGAGAATTGTTGAAGTAACTGTATGCTACTGACCCTCAGTATCACTGAAGAAAGCTAGAGTTCAATTTTAGTTGTTGAATGTTATGGGTTAAATAATGCAAGGCTTGTAGTTAATGCATATTGACAAAATGATTGTGGAAAGCAACACAGAACTTTATAAAATATGAAGTGAGAGAATGAAGGACCTGGAAGTTCCAGACGAGCTTGCCAGCTGGTTTTCAAGACATGCTGCTTTTGGTGTCAGCTTTGATTGCATATATTCAGAGGCTTTAAAAATGTCTTGCAGTAGAAGGGCAATATGGAGAGGTGTTTTAGCGTTATAGCATCCACAGTTTTTGGATAGAGGATCATTTTTTTGGCAGTCCTTTGGTATGTCTGATAGTTGCTTTGCATTCGTGGAATGCTGAATCAATGCAAATGACACCCTTCCTCTGGTGTTTGCTATGGTGTTACTTAAACTGCCATGTTTACCGTGGTAGGGTTGGGCATAAAGAGACCTGAGAGAGCTATGCTTGTTTACCTGAACCTGAAATTAGCTTCTTGTGGCTTCCCAGGGAGTCACAGGTAAGGTTTAGAACCTGACCGAGGACATTTCCGTGCTCCCTTGTTCCATGCAGTGTGTTCTGCCAGGATACGGTGTGATGGGAAAGCAGAGGAAGCTAGAGTGATCCCAAGCACTTGGACACCTTGTCTGTGATACAGAATTTAGAATTGTAGACAATCTGGCATAACACTGAAATTATAGACAATCCGGCATAACACTGAAAACTATTATATTCACATAAAGATAATTACTGAACTGGTGGTTTATGGGACTGTCTGCGATGTCTATATATAGCTCATTTAACATATCTGAGGGAGTCAGCGTAGTCTGATTTATAAAGCAGAAGTTGAGAAGAAATCAGAGTTTTCTCCTTAGCTCTGCAAATGTCTTGTGGAGCAGAGCAATACTGGCTCTTGACCTCTCTGGGTATCACAGCTATACATGCATTGCTGCCTCTGCAGTTCTTACGGTCTCTGTTGGCATCATTACATGGTTTGGGCTTTTTTCAAGCATTGTCTTAAATGAGGAGGACTTGTTCAGGCCATTAAGCTTGAAACTTTATACTTAGGCATCTTTTACTCAGTTTTTTGGCCAAAGATATCAGTTTGGTAGTTTTACTTTCTGGCAGCGCAGCTATTATGTATTGAAGTTGTAGTGAAGCACTCTTGAAAAAATACCTGATATTGCATACCATGGAGGAATGCGTGTCTTCTTTTTGTAACTTGCTTCTGTAATTTATCAAATGAAGAATCCTTGGTGTAAAGCAGAACATTTTTGTGAGTGTGAAGGGGTTTTTTCTTTAATTTTTTTTGTGGACTATGAGGAATGTATTACCTCTACAAGAGACTAATTTCATACCCGAGGTACTTGTACAGCGTAGTTTCATTCTGTGGAACATCAGCCTTTTGTAACATACAATCTGAGTGTAAATTGTAAAAGGCTGATGCTTTTGTGTCAATATTTTGCAGACAATTTTGCATCAATAAATTGCAGACAATAATACCTAACTACAGGTCTCTGATAATGCTGGCATTGGAAGGGTAGCATTCTGCATGCCTTTATTAGCTGTCCTATCTAACTCTACTGTAACGTTACTGTCTCCTAGAGAGTATATATTAATACATGGGAAGTCACATCTTATATGAAAATTCCTTTGCAATACAATTTGGTTGTATGTGGCTCAGAATCCAGGTTCATTTGTCTGGGATTTTTTCTTTTTTCCTTTTTGATTATTAAGAGTGATTATAAAAAAGGGGATAATCTTTTATAAAAATGTGTTGTAAGGGAAAATGAATTCTACTTGTAAGAGGCTGGGTTTTCTGTTCTATAGAACTATTTTCCTTGTAGATGATATATTACAGTTTAAAAGATTTAATTATCTATGTTCAATGTTTAACCATAATGTTCTTACAATAGAGACCTTTGTTCTCCAGAAAAATAAAGTGTAGTCAGTAGTTTGATAAAATACTTCACAAAAGTCATTTTCTGATTTCAATGCCATTAATTTTTAACATCTAATTAATGAAAATGATTGAATGTGTAGGAGCTAATCTCCCAACTAGCAACAATTAGCAGAAAGAAATATGGCAGTGGACAATACTGTTTGTCTTGCCAGTCCCTAAAACCTAAATTGCATAGCAACCAATATGACTTTTCAGATATTCAGGAATAAATCCCAGTTTTTGGTGTGCGAAAGATCAGACAATTAATTTTCCTAATGTAATTTGAAATACTGCTGAGTTGCTAAGCAGCTCTTACACTCCTCACTTTTTATATGCTTTATATGCGAATTTTCAATCAAACCCCGTTGCTGTATACATTGACATTTTGCATTAGAACACAGCGGCGAAGAAAACAAGCTACAGACTGTGGATTTTGCATTCCTTTGTGAAATGCCTGAATATGTTTTTATTGAAGTTGATGTGAACCAGAATTTTTTGGTTTTTCATGGACTGCATTTAAATTCTCTTGAGCCAACTTTTGCAGGTCAGGGCAGGCAAACTTCCATGGAACATAGTGGGAGTTTTATATGGATAATTCCTGCAAGAGTTTGCTCTGGTGATTGCTGTTAGGTATTGTTTTGAGTGATAAATTTGTTCCAATTATGTACTCTTTGTCTTTGCAGTGTTCTGGATGATGAGGGGAGCAGCCTGCGTCAGCAGAAGCTTGACAGACAGGTAAGATTTTGTAGGGGGACCTACTTGCTCTCTGAAGTCTAGATCTTGGAGTAATGAAATCACTGACGCATATATCTGGTAATTGATAGAAAATTGCATCCTCTGATTAGGGAATGCAAAAGAGGTCTGTGGAAGTTACAGCTTTCTTAGAAGTCCAACTTCCATTACCATTTTTCTTATGACTGTGGTTTGAGTGATTCTCATTTCCACTGCCTTGGAGTTGTTTTAAGCTGACTTACAATGTATTTATTACCCTTTTCATGAACCAGAAATGACAAGAGGTTCTGGCAGACCTGCCAGCCAACAGAGGTTTACCACAGAGTTTTTACATATTTTCCTTTTCATTCCATGGATTTAGCCCTCGTGGCTGTATATGTGCTACGTTGCCTATTTTGCTACTGTATGCCCCCATGACTTGTACAAGAAAGTGATTCAGAATCTCTCCCATGAAATCTCAGGGAATTTTGCCATCAAGTTTTAATGGGGTTTGAGGTTTCCAGTTTTCATTCGATTTTTCTGTGGTCCCCTTTTCACGAAACTTTGTTGTGTTTATAGTTAAACCTTGTGAGTTTAATTTTATATTTTTCTAGACTTTTCTTTTCCCATTGTTTTATCAGTTTGCATGTCTACCAGCATCTCATTTTCAAATTCAAATACTTTCTATTTATGCCATAATCCTGTACTAGGTTCTGATCGTTTTGAAGTCACGTTGAGGTGTTCCACATAAGTTATGGAGCTGAAAGAGTCCACTCTCCATTCTTGTTCTTCAGTTTTAGTCCATCTCCTTTCTAAAAGCAAAAAAAAAAAAAAAAATCACTGTATAGGAGCAGGGTAAGGTAAGGTAATGGATAAGTGAAATTAACAGTTCGGTTCTCTGAGATCGTGGAAGAGGGCTAAGAGAGTGAGGTGCCTATGGTGCCATCGGATGCTGAAGGTTTTGGTTTTCAGCAGGTCTAGCTGAGCAATTCAAGTGTTTAATTAGTTCATCCTGTATAGTTGTTAAATCAGGCTCATGTCCAGCATTATCACTTGATTCTAGTTTGCAGATTACCTGCTTTTAATTTACAGAAACTTAAATTGGCATCTCTGCCTCGTGCCCTTGCTTGCCCTCCTGTTGCTTCACAGCCAGTACTCTCACACTGTTGTTTTCCCCGGGGTTATTTCCAAGCAAGCTGTGACAGCTGGTAGACTGCTCAGAAAGATCTATTTTAATTATTTGCTGTTTTCAGCAGAAGGTGTTTTAGCAGTGGGTTAGTTGTGATTTTTGGAAAGATTTCCTGTAATCTGATATCCCACTTGCCAAGTGCTGCCACTGGAAAACTAGAGAAGGTGTAAAGATATCCATTGTTTTTTTACCATAGATTGCTAGTGTTTGGAGCCCAGTAACAGATGCTTTTCTTTATATTTTCCTCAGCGAGCATTGCTAGAACAGAAGCAGAAAAAAAAGCGCCAGGAGCCACTAATGGTTCAGTCCAATGTGGACAGTCGCACAAGAACACGCAGAATGAAACATTCGGAAGAACAAGCACCATTGGTTGAATCGTATCTTAACAGCAACAGCAGCACCATATATCATGGTATATGAATATGATCTATTGCATGTATATTTACTGCAAGTCATAGTATGATGCTTTCCGTGTTAAATTTATGCTAATGAGAACAAAGGTGGTTGTTTTGGATTTTTTAGTAAATAATTTATATCCTTCACTTGTGTTTGGCGATAAAACCATCAGAACTTGCAATGCTAGCCTAACAGGAGGGGGCGAGGTAACTAGCTACCATTTCAGTGCTGTGGGGGAAGAGGGACTGGCTTTTTCCTCCTCCCCCGCAAAATTAAATAGCTTTCGCCTCCCCCCCCTGCCATGAATATTTAAGTGTCTTCAGCCTTGGTTCCTACTGAAATAAAGCTTATGCTGTTCCTCTCTTATGTATTTCTTGGTACATAATTTTGCTTAGGCCTGACAGTGTTAATGATAAATTTGAAACCTGTTAACTAATTTCAGCTAAGTTTGAATATAATCATTTCAAAGATACTGTGTTTCTGCAAGGTTCATTAAAACAGGTGAGTAGGTAGAGAAGAACATTTCAAGCTTGTACAATGTGGTCTACGTTTTCTTATTAAAGATTACAGAATCCAGAAGGAACAGAGACACTTCAGGTATCACAGCCATAGGGAAAAAATTATAATGCCATTTCTGTATTGTTAGACTTCAAAGAATTTTATCATCAGAAATAAATCCTAAGGAAACCAGTCGCTACTTAGTTCTGTGCTGATATGGCCCACTCTTGCTGGCCCCCTAATGAAGGTAGGTGCATACTTTTCCTCAGGATTTCCAAGAGGGAAGCTTGGGTAACCTTGTTCAATATTGTGTCTCTTATAGATCTTGTTCCAGGTTGCTAACATCTCTAGGAGTTATAGAGAACAGTAATGTTCAAATTTTCTTGTTTTGCAGGTCATTAAGTCAAATTTGATTTATAAGGGATTCATAAGTCTCAATAGCAAAAGGCTCTCTTCCCCAAGTATTGATGGGTATATGCTACGCAGAATTAGTACAAGGGAAAAAAGAGAGTAGAGGACATGAGCACTGGCACTGGGAATGCAGTTGGCTGTTTTCAGGTTGGGAATGCTACTGGGTGGCAGAGTACTTAAGGTTTAATGTCTAAAACCCAAACCCTAAGATGCCTTTGTGAATCTACCTCCGGAAAAAAAAACCAAAACCAAAACACCAAACCAACCACTATGTAGTCTTAAACAAACAGAAACTTAATTCACCATTCAGTTCAGACCTCTATAAAGTATACTGCACGTGCTATACTTTTCAACTGCCCTATCATTTAATTTTTAGTTGGTGGTCACATCTTTCAACAAGGAGATGGCAGGTATTTACTGGACTAACTAATCATGCTATGAGAAGTGCAAGTTTCAAGTGCAAGAAGTGCAAGGGTCTCTACCCCCAGTTTGCAATTGGTGGGATTTTTTGATGTGGTGGCAGCTACAGAATTTATTGTTAGAAACTGGAAATTGATTAGGTGTTAAGGCTTCATTAATGGACCTTTTTTATTTGCTTCTGCAAGCAGATAGGCTACCATAAGTGATTTCAGATGGAGAATTATTTTTTCTTTTAGTATTATTTTAATTACGTTTTTCTAGTAAATATTAAAAGCATTAGTAATATTTCTCTCTCTTTACTGTCTTTTCCTCAGGATCTGGGAAGAAAATTTTTAAGAGGAAAGTAAATTTCTTTCCAGTCTTACCTAGGAATTTGATTTAGCATAGAATTTGATTTTTTTAAAATTATTTTTTAATCAGAGAAAACAGAAATTTTCTCTTTCCTCTTTCACTCAATAGCTTATCAAAGGTACAGAACTATTCTAAGAAATAGTACCTTATGGTACAGAGGTGCCGTCGTATCCTAAACCTTCTGTATTGTCAGTTGAACAAAGTTTTAATTTTCACAGATCGGAGAAACTGACATTATCACCCCATAAATGGTAACAAATTTCATATCTGCACTAACTGAGATAAATTTTGCAACAGTTTGCACCAGAGTGGGCTTTCTCACTTAAGTGAGATTAGTGCTCTTCAGGTAAAAGTGACCCTTCCTGTGATGTTATACCACACCTTTTACTGGAATACTTACTAATTTATTCTCCTTAAATCACTTTGTTCTAAATTTGTCTCTCAGACCTCTTCAAGATTGCAGAAGGTTTCAGAGAAGCAAAAAAATATAGTAAAGTTTCTCATATTCAACCCAGAGTTTGTTAATGCCTGGGGACAGCTGTCCTGGTAATAAACTGTGAAGCTAGCAAAAGCCAACTTAGGAGAATTTAATTACCTAGTAAAGCATTTTATTGCCTTGTAAAATCCTTTGTTAGGAATGTTGCTTTTGAAAATATTGTAAGAACTCCAGAACTGTCCTTTTTTGGTGCGGTCTTCTCTGGGAATGTACTTAGTGTCTTAGGTTGCACTGTCTGCATGGTACGTAGTTAGGTTTTGATGGCCGTTTTGAGCTATGGTATTCAGCTTCAGGGTTGGCACTTTTTTCCCCTTCAATGAAAACATTTGTATGTGGGAGTGTCGGATGCATGAGACAGCTGGGCTGTTTCTAAAGAACTATTCTGCTCTTTTCCGTTCATTTGTTTCTGTTATGGGCATGCTGATTTTAACTTAAGAATGACTCTTTGATGGGAGTTGATGGTCTACTGAATGAACTACATTGCTTGGATGAGAATGTTTGTGAAATCAATTCCTGTACTGCAAATGCTACAAAAAGAACACTTCTTTCCATGATCATCCTCCTCCACTTTTTTTTGCCCTTGTACTAATTCTGGGTAGCACAAAAGTACTTGTTGATTTCAACAAATAATTGGATGCCTGTGTAGAGCTATCTCTATGGTACTTTGAGCAAAATAGGTCAGAGAGAGCATCTCAGCAACCCTGAGATGTTAGCCTTTCTGCACTGGGGAATTTTCTTTCATACACTGCCATAGCTTATTCTGATGTAGTTATCTGTGCTGCAATGGTTCCCTGATGGGCAACTCTACTCTGGACTAAAAACTCACTTCATTCCAGAATAATTGTCAGAGTGTGGAGTAAAAAGTCAAAGCCACTTTTGTTCTGGAATAGAACATGGGTCTTGTGAGCTATTTGTATGTAGATACAGTGGTTCAGCATTATCTTGCTAGTTAAGCTGATTGCAAGTTTTTCCCCAGAAAGGAGTCCTTAGCTGCTTTTGAACCTCTTCAGGGAGTTTGCAGGGTGATTGCTGCTAGTCCTCTGGCTGCATGTGTATTTTGCTTCATCTAGCATGGAGCCAAAGGGAAGTGCAAATAAATCTCAGATGCAGTAGGGTGGAGGGGTATTAATTAAGGAGTGTGACTGAGCTCAGCTGGGGCAGTTCCCAAAGGGGATAATACAGCTGTGGCCTTCCTACTCTTGTGGTGGTCAGGATTGAAGATGCTGGGACCAGTTTAATTCAGCATGGAACTGAGCAGGTACAGGGCTCTTCCAAGTTTCTTTTTGGTTAGTTTAATAAATAACAAAATGGCTCTGCTGAGAGCCTGTCTCCACAGAGTGAGGAGGAGTATTCCCAGGATCACCATACTTTTTCCTAGGTACCTTCAAAGCAGCGAGGTGACATGTTGGTAGGATAAAATGGTATCTCTGTTCCCTGTCAAATGTTACTAGCAATTCCTCTGGGTGCTGTGAGACTTTTAAGGAGCTGGGTGCCCTTCCACTGAGGAAGTGTCTCTGCAGAATCCACTGTGCGCAAGTCTCCAGACCGATCATGTCTTAGTTCCTGCCCGTGTTTCCCCTACAGATAAAAGTTTTCAGATCCTGTAGCTTGTAAATAACTTGCAGGTACTATACCTTTTAAAAACCTTTTGGTTGTTGGCATAATGCCCAATTAACTAATAACAACAAAAGTATTTGAGGTATCTGCAGGAACTGACATGAATTAAGTTGAACAGGCCGACCTGAGATAAAACGAATTCTCGGCACTCTGGTCCATGAGCTCAAATATTAGGCAGTGGTAATGCAGTGCTTGCCTGTCAGCATCTGTAGATCAGGTAGGACCAAGCGTGCAGGAAATTGCTTTTGTTACTTGGAAAGGATTATAGAGATGTATTTCATGGGAACAGAACCTCCTGTTTTATAATCTGTGCATCTAGGAATACATGCACAGTAGTAGAAGTAGTTTCATGGCAGCATTTCTAGATAAGTCTGGGACAAAGCTGAGTATATAGAGGTAGCAGAAAGTATTTATGTAAAATGATGAATGCAGTGTCCTTTTATTTTTTTTCATTTTTCTTTTCTTCTCCCCCCCGCCCGAAATGGAGACAGTAATATAGTTTTGGGACCACACTTGTAGATTAGACCTTAAATTATCTGCCTGCCATTTCAAGCAATAGGTATCCTTCCATTAACTTCCATGATGTTGGCTCCAGTTTTTACTGTTACAAGTAATCCCTTTCTCTCTTGCATTACCAAATACTTCATCACTATTTCATCATTATAAATAGCAAAATAAGAAACAATAACAACATTTTGTATTGCTATTAAGTTTACATTGTATATAAAGGACAACAAAGTCATTTACTTGCTGGAATAAATTTAATCCTTCTGTGTAAGAGAGATCACTTACAAATTGCTTTGTCTTCTCTTTCTTGTGTTCTTGTTTTATTTTTGGTTTGGTGTCCTTCATAAGGACATATTGCTACCTGTTTGTTTAAAGCTTTTATTGAATTTTGTTTGCCATTCTGTAATACCTCACAGTCCTATCTGCTGGTTTGTTTTCATGTATTTCTGCACCACTTATTTTGTGAAGCTTGTTGAAAACCTGAACGAACATTTTAGCCTGATGTGACACTGCAAAATTCTGCTATGAGTACAGTTCTTTTCAATCTGTATTGCAAATACATACTGAGCATTCCTGGAGCCAAGTAGCATGCAGAGATACACTAGTTACAGCAACAATTTAATTACATTATTTAATTACATTTAATGCAAATGATGAAAACCCATTTTCACAGAGAAGTGTAATTTTACTTCTGTGAAAATTGTGAATTTCCGTTG